TATTCAAAATTAGACCTCGCCATCCCTGGGGCCGGCTGCGATCTGCGAAAACTGTCGCCACTTTTCGACCCCGCCTTGCTGGGGGGGCCCAGCCACGTGGGTACTCACCGCGATTTGTAGACCTGCCATCCTTGGGGGGCTGCGATCGTGCGAACTGTTGCGCCACTTTCGAGGCCTGCTGGGGGGCCCAGCACAGTGGGTACTTACCGCAGATTCAAAGTAGACCTCGCCATCCCTGGGGGGCTGCGATCTGCGAAACTGTCGCCATTTTCGAGGCCTGCTGGGGGGGCCCAGCACAGTGGGCACTCACCGCAAATTCAAATTAGACCTCGCCATCCCTGGGGGGCTTCGATCTGCGAAACCGTCGCCGCTTTCGAAGCCTGCCGGGGGGCCCACCACAATGGGCACTCACCGCAGATTCAAATTAGACGCCGCCATCCTTGGGAAGCTGCGATCTGCGAAACTGTCGCCACTTTCGAGGCCTGCTGGGGGGCCCGGTACAGTGGTTATTCACCGCAGATTCAAATTAGACCTCGCCATCCCTGGGGGGTTGCGATTTGGGGAACTGTCGCCACTTTCGAGGGCTGCTGAGGGGCCCAGCGCAGTGGGTACTCACCGCAAAGTCAAATTAGACCTCGCCATCCCTGGGGGGCTGCGATCTGCGAAACCGTCGCCATTTTCGAGGCCTGCTGGGGGGCCCACCACAGTGGGTACTCACCGCAGACTCAAATTAGACCTCGCCATCTCTGGGGGGCTGCGATCTGCGAAACTGTCGCCACTTTCGAGGCCTGCTGGGGGGCCCACCGCAGTGGGTACCCACCGCGGACTCAAATTAGACCTCGCCATCCCTGGGGGGCTGCGATCTGTGAAACTGTCGCCCCTTTCGAGGCCTGCTGGGGGGCCCAGCACAGTGGGTACTCACCGCGGACTCAAATTAGACCTCGCCATCCCTGGGTGGCTGCGATCTGTGAAACTGTCGCCACTTTCGAGGCCTGCTGGGGGGCCCAGCACAGTGGGTACCCACCGCGGACTCAAATTAGACCTCGCCATCCCTGGGGGGCTGCGATCTGTGAAACTGTCGCCACTTTCGAGGCCTGCTGAGGGGCCCAGCACAGTGGGTACACACCGCAGACTCAAATTAGACCTCGCCATCCCTGGGGGGCTGCGATCTGTGAAACTGTCGCCACTTTCGAGGCCTGCTGGGGGGCCCAGCACATTGGGTACACACGGCGGATTGAAATTGCACCTCGCCATCCCTGGGGGGCTGCGATCTGTGAAACTGTCGCCACTTTCGAGGCCTGCTGGGGGGCCCAGCACAGTGGGTACACACCGCGGACTCACATGGGACCTCGCCATCCCTGGGGGGCTGCGATCTGTGAAACTGTCGTTACTTTCGAGGCCTGCTGGGGGGCCCAGCACAGTGGGTACCCACCGCGGACTGAAATTAGACCTCGCCATCCCTGGGGGGCTGCGATCTGTGAAACTGTCGCCACTTTCGAGGGCTGCTGAGGGGCCCAGCACAGTGGGCTTCCCGCACGTCTTTCTCCTGCTCTTCGTTCCCGACTCCCCATGTCCTCTTCGAGCCTGTAGCTGTCGCCCCTCTTTCTTGTATGGTTCTCCTGCACATCATGTCATAGGCGCGTGTCCCAAGTAGCTTACATATCAAACAACGGATCCTGCAATTTGATTGTCCATGCAAGTTTCGGCCAACTCCTCGTTTCCCATGATACAAATGGGTGGGTACGTCACAGGGTAATGTGTTTTTTTTGTGCGGGGGTTGTTTTGGTTTCTGGCCAAGCGACGCCACGCGATACATATCGTACAACACGCTGGTTGTTGTTCGTGTGTCCAGCACTTGTACGGAAGTCCGCACGAGTTGTAGTAGTAGTAGTAGTAGTAGTAGTAGTAGTAGTAGTAGTAGTAGTAGTAGTCAGTAGTAGTAGTAGTAGTAGTAGTAGTAGTAGTAGTAGTAGTAGTAGTAGTAGTAGTTGTAATAGTAGTAGTAGTAGTAGTAGTAGTAGTAGTAGTAGTAGTAGTAGTCGTAGTCGTTTAGTTCGTAGTCGTAGTCGTAGTCGTTAGTAGTCGTAGTAGTCGTAGTAGTAGTATAGTAGTAGTAGTAGTAGTAGTTCGTCGTGTAGTAGTAGTAGTAGTTAGTAGGAGTATAGTAGTAGTGGTGGTGAGTGGGTAGTAGTAGTAGTAGTGTAGTAGTAGTAGTAGTATATGTAGTTAGTTATGGTACTGTAGTAGTAGTAGTAGTAGTAGTAGTAGTAGTAGTCAGCTAGATTAGTAGTAATAGTAGTCGTAGTAGTAGTAGTTGTAGTATGTAGTAGTGTAGTC